AATCACGCGCCACGCGAGACACGGATAGCACTTCAATTTCATCAATCAGCGCCACCTCGAAGAACAAGGGAATACTCTTCAAATTTCAGCAATCAGGCGCCCGCCTGGAGAACAAGGGAACACTTGTCAAGCGTCAACAATCAGGAGCCCGCCTGGAGAATAGAGGCATGTCAAATTTCAGCAGTCAAGCATCACTCGGAAGAATGGCGAAACTTCTCCGATCATAATGCAAGGCAACAACAAGAATTCCATCGGAAGAACACAAGTTCAAGGCAACAAAAGAGCAAGTTTGAAGTCATAAATAGGACCTTTTGTAACTCATAGCTTAGGCTAGCTTCTTTTTATTTTTGACACGGTGTAATAAGGAGGTCAGCAAGCAGTGGCAACAGCAACAGCAGAAAGTCACAGCTTTTGGTAGTCCCAGCTACCAAACCTTCCCGAACTACACTGACCTGATTCCTGTTTAGCCCAGGATATGTAGGCAACCTCTGAAGCAGGGTGCGGTCAAGTTTTTTCAAAAAATGCTTCACACGGAATATGCAAACGGGCCAAAATCGTTCATTTCTGCTCACTTGTCTTTGCACGAAAACTCTTCATGTTTCCGGGCAAAGAGGGGCAGCTGTGAGCACGTGATTTTTGCCCTAAGCAATAATTCCCAAATTTCAAACAAAACAATTTCTCTAGTATTTTATAAATTTTTGTGAATTTTGTGGCATTTTTTGGTAATTGTTGCATTTTTGTTTGTGCATATGAAAATACAAAATATGCATTTTTGCATTTAAGATTTAATTTCATATATTAGCATTAATTGATTTTAGAACAAAATGTTAAGAAAATAACAAAAAAGGGGGTCCATTTTGCATTTTTGGTATAGTTTGCATTTCCCTTTAGGAATTAATTAGGAAATATAATTGTTAGAGTCAATTTATTTTGGTTTTATTTTAGCATTTTATAAAATCAGAAAAGTAAATAAATACAAAAATAGATAAAAGAAATAAAAGGAAAAGGGGTATTAAAAAATGGTCTTAATTGGAGACCAAATTTGGGCCAAAATAGGTCAGCCCAAACGAAATACCCCAATCCAGGCCAGTCCATACCCGTCCCAACCCGGTCCGCTCCCCTACCCAGCCAAACGACGTCGTTTTGGTCCTAGTCAATCCTGGCCGTCGAGGTTTTATGATCTAACGGCCAGGAAGCTAGGGTCAATTCATATATATGTGTCCAAACGCACCCCCCTACCCCCCTCACCACCCCTCTCTCACCCCATCTCTCAGATGCCCTATACTCGTCGGTGTAACGCCGTCACCCCACCGCCTTCCTCCGCCATTCTCCACCCCAGCGCCGCCGGCCGGAAATCGCCGCCGCCGGCGGCATTGCTCCGATCAACCCCAAAATAACACCCCGGCCTCTCCTGCTCGTCCTCTTCCCGTTCCTGCCCTTGATTTCCCTCGAATCTCGCCGGAGTTCGTCGAATATCCCGTTAAAGTTTTCCGGCCAAGTCGCCGGTTACGCCAAACGGTCCCAAATTAACACCATGGGACCGCCTTGACCTCCTCTACCCAACCCCCATAGCCACTTGTCTCGAATCCCGGCCAAACGTCTCAAATATCGAATCTAAATTTTCCGGCCACGATGCAACCCCGTCCAAACCACCCCAAATTTACACCACCTAACCGCCTTCACCTCCTCTTTCAAACCCCCCAAGCCCCGACCCTCGAATCTGTCCAGAATGTCACGAATCTCAAATCCGATCCCGGCAGAACCCTAATCCAAAATCTTTGTGATTTTGGACCGCACCATCCTTAACCAGGTGTATTCTCGCGAAAACACATGATTAGAGATGTTGCGTGTCAAAAATCCTGAAAGATTCGAACGTCAGTGGATAGCCAGAATTCCTAAAATCAGTAAGGTTATTTTCTTTGACTGTTTTTCTTCTGCGTGACTGTTATGCTATTTTGTTCATGATTAATTTGCTTAGGGTTTATGCTGATTTTAATCCATAAGTCGACCCTGTTCTTAGTGTTCGTTTTAGTTCGTATTAGGTTAGCCTTAATTCATGATACAATAAGTTGGATTGTGCCTTTGATTATTCCTGATTCCATGAGTTTCTGTCTCTGATTTTGGTTCTGATATTTGGTTAATTTTGTTTTGTGATGTTAGTTTGATTTTGTTTCAAATCTGTTTTGATAATTGGGTTTGGCATTGATTGATTTACCATAGTCGAGTAGCTAGCTGATAGTTCAACTAGTGTTAGTGATCTTAGGTTGAATTCAAGGGTAGTTTAGACATTTAAGATTGGATAGCACATGGTAGTTGAGACTAGAATCTCCTAGGACCTTCCAAAGTAGGACTTTAGTGTAACTTCAGTAATTTTAGTGGGTTAACTTGAGAAACAAGTCAGTAAAGAGGGGACTAAGCTGAAAATAAAATAGGGACTAAGAGGAAAATAGAAAATTGGGAGCTGCCCTCATCTTTGCATATAAAAGGCAGCCTCTAGTGCCTTGACTAACAAGGGAAGAGCCCAAAAGTTCCCCCCAAAGTATTCTTTCAGTTTTTTTTCCAGATCTGAAATCAGAAGTTTCAAAATTCAAAAGCCAAAAATAACAGAAATTACAGAAAAATCCGAAAATACTGTTTTGTTCAATTTCTTAGGTTAATTTCAAGTTTTAGTGGTTGATTTGCATTTCTTAGCTCAATTTCTGGTAGCTGAAGTTCAGAAGTAGTCCTGGTTTGAGTTCAAGTAGGTTTTGAGTTCAATCAAGTCAGTGTTGGGTCAACTTATTAGGTGCTGGTTNGTGTTCGTCGGTCGGTATGGTACGGTATTTAGACATTTCGGTTCGGTATTTTCGGTATTCGGTTTCTTAAAATCCTATACCAATACCGTACCTAATTAAATTCGGTATGGTTCGGTTTTTCTCCTTTCGGTTTCGGTTTATTCGGTTCGGTAACTTCGGTTTATTCGGTTTGAATACTAACTAGTGCATAGAGCCATAGACTCTAATATTCTTAATTAAAGTACTCAAAAATACAAAACTGAAAATGTTTGTTGACAAAAATTTTGTCCAAAACTAGCAAATATCGACCCAGATAGAGAAATTGTACATAAAAGAATATTTGATCATTAGAAAAGTCTTGTTACTTGTTTAGAGTTAATTGATGAACTTAGAGAATAAAGGAAAGTAATATCTTAGACTTTTTATATTTATGTTATAATTGATAATATGTGTTTTGTGTAAGGCTCATTCATATTGCGGGCCAGCCCGTCCTAGTCCACCAATTTGAAAGTCCACGAGACTTGAGCTGGACTGGCCCGTTTTTACAGCTCTACTCCGTATTGGTAAGAAACTTAGATATACGGTGAACATAGAATTAAGTGAGGTAAATTAAGCTCTAAACTTGAATAAAATAGAATTTTGTGTATATTTTCTGTTATTTTTCTTTTTCATATTTGGAGTAAAAAATCAAAGCAGCAAGTTCTTTGAGAGGACATTAAAGAATCTGACCGAAGTTTAAATAATTGTGTCTCCTTTCTCCTTCTTTCTAACTAATTATTGGTGAATCTAGCCTTGATGCAATTAATTAATTGCGTAAGAAATAGTAGTAATATTATAGTAAATTCAGAAGTTGAATTGTCGGGAGTCTTTATTTTGGCTGTAGAACCAAGTGGGGTCTATTTTACAATTAGTGTGTGGGTTTAGTGTATATAAAATATTACCTAGGGGGAAAATCGACTCAGTCAAACACTTCGAGGGGACAAAGTTGAATTTACTCATAATTTGAAAATGATATATACGGAGCATGTACATCTGTAAATCACGACGCCATTTTTATATACTGCTTAAGCTGCGATTTGTAAGGCGTGCGATCCCAAAAATAATCCAGATTAGAAACGTTGATCCAGACGCGCCCACGAAGTACTCGCCTGTCCTCAATCTTCAACTTTAACAATAAAGTGATCTCCACAAGACCACGTGGCTCTCTATATAAGCGAGTGGCAAACACAGCAGAAACCAGCGAATTGTTCATTTCTTATCCGAGAATACCTCTCACTCTATTACACTCCATTTTTTGCTTAGCTTAATTTATCAAGAACACCTATATATTTGCGCTAAATTGCGCCGAGGGGTACACTGCGCACCCCAATCTCCATCTTCTCCCTCTCTACCTCACATCACAGTAGTCTTTGTCTCTCTGGCTTTCACTTTCACTTACTCGTAGGCTTTAAACTTCTATAATAATAACCCAAACATTTTCAAAAAACACACTTACACTAACACTAACACTTCTCCCCCCATAACCACAACTACTTAAGCTCAAAACCTAGGGTTTTCAATTTTCATTCCACTCGTCTCGTGTTAATAAAGTTCACATTAATCATTAAACACGAATGTATATAATTGTGAATTGTTGAAATGGATCCACCTATTATTAATGAGGCATCATTTTCGGCGGCCAACCCGAGTTCTTACAGCTTAGCTGAGATTTGGCCGTTTTCCACCGCGGCAAATGGTGGCGGCAACGGCGACCTAGGTGGAGGAGGCCTGGGTCTCAGAATGAGCAGCTTTACGGGTTTATTAGAGGCGGCTGCTAACTCGGTTAACGAATCTACTGTGACGGAGCAAAGCGGAAGAAGCGGCGGCGGCGGCAGCACTGCTGCTGTCAGGAAGAGGGATATGAATTCAGAGGATGACTCTTCTAAGCTTGTTTCTACTAGTGATGCTAATGATTTGGTAATTATAATTATAACTAACTTTCTAATTGCTCTTTTTTAGTTTAAGTACAAGACTAAGCGGGATGCGGACGGATTACTGTTGATTTGACATTGAAATTTGTCTTAATTATTATTTTCCTGCCTAATGTCTTACATTTTTGGAAGAATAAATAGTATTTCTCATTGAGTTAAGTCACTTTTACATGTCAATTTCGTAATTTGTTCTCTCAGTTCTCTTCTTGTGCAATTCTTCGGAATTGGCGATGAATTATTAAGTTATTGATGCTTGTCAAACCGAACATATACTAAGCAATTCCTTGAGCTGTAAGTTGATGATGTATGTGCCAATTGTCTAGTTTGCTTGGTGAACCATTTCATTCGGATCAAGTTAGACCCGACTTCTAAGTCTTCAGCTGATGAAAATTCTCTTCTGCTTCACAATTTAGAGGTTTCATAATTTTTTCAAATATTTTGCTAGTTGAGAATCAGCTCCTGGATTTACCATATACCTTTAAATCAAATTCTTATCTTGATATGGTTTCCAGACTTAATGAAGCTACGTATTGATTTTTCTTATTAATTCAAATTATGTTCGCAGCAGGATGGTTCAGTCGCCAAACGCCAGAAAGCATCAGAATCTAAAGAAGAAAATGGCGGCTCAAAGGTAGAAGCAGAATCCNCAACACCTACAAGGCATAAAACACAAAATTAGTGCAAAACATTAGCGATTAAAGCGCAAACTCAATTAAAGTGCAGTAAATTCGAGTGTAATAAGCGACTAAAATATGCAATTATAGCCTATCATCAAGAAGCATTAGATTGAATTCTTCCTCGGGATCTCAATGTCAGGCAAATAAACGACTTTTTCCACTATTTGTAATTTTTGTTGATTATGTCATATGCCAATTTAACAAAAATATTGGGCATGGGTAGGTTTACCTACTCCGTTTTCCTCCAATTTGATCATTTTTCCTAGCAATAGTTCAGTATTCCAGTTGAAAGATATTAGAGCTTCTCTGTTGTTCTAATGTCGCGCAGCTTCCAGAAGCTCTTGGCTCTATCCTGACAGTTTTAAAAGATAAACAAGTGTGGCTGCCTCTGAGCATTGCATTTAGTTCAAAACATGATTTAGTAGACCCTTGTGGTCCGGCCCTTCCCCGGACCCGAGCGGGAGTTTAATGCATCGGGCTGCCCTAGTTTAGGAATTTAGGACTGATTCAACTCATTGGCTTGTTATACCATAGAAGGGCTAGGATGAACCACCTGATTAAAAAGGAGTTGAACAATTCATTGCTTTGAAAAATGATACAATAATTCACAGAGGTCGTAATCCCCAAGTAAATTTTACCAGCAAATTCGATTGACTATTTCATCTCCTTACAGAAGTTGAAACGTTGCATTCATCTATCGTCTAAGCGCCAACTAACCTCAACTAAATTTCCTTTCTTATGTATATATGATTTGATTTTAACAGGTTGCTTTCTTGGTAGAGATAACCAAGGCTGGCTTCACTAATAAATAGGCCTTGAAATCCTGTGCTATTTATTATTTGTAAAGTGCTACACTATTCTTTGAATCAATTTCAGTCTATAAACACTATCCAATGGCTACCATGAAATCTCAGTCGGAGTTTCTTACTCGTGTGACATTATTCTTGTTGATAATTCTGGTAGTCTTACCGTTTCCTTCTCACTCAGCTGATCCTGATCCATTGCAGGATTTCTGCGTTGGAATTCTAAACAGCACATCAACATCTCTTAACGGTTTTCCTTGCAAGCCTGCTTTTCAAGTTACTTCGGATGACTTCTTCTTTGATGGTCTAAGCAAAGAGGGAAACACAGACAATGTATTTGGATTCAGCGTGACCCCAGGAAATGTTCTTGCTTTCCCGGGGTTGAACACGTTAGGTCTCTCAATGAATCGAGTTGACTATGCCCCGGGAGGGATGAATCCGCCCCATTCACACCCTCGTGCAACTGAATCCGGGGTTGTCATCAAGGGGAAACTCTTTGTTGGGTTCGTAACAACGGACAACAAGTTCTATTCCAAAGTTTTGACAGCAGGGCAGATGTTTGTGGTACCCCGAGGACTAGTGCATTTCCAAATGAATGTTGGTAAGGGAAAGGCATTGACCTTCACAGCTTTTAACAGTCATTTGCCAGGCGCAATCGTCCTTCCAACTACACTATTTGCTTCGACGCCTCCCATTCCTAATGATGTGTTGACTAAGACCTTCCAAGTTGAAGCAAGTGTCATTGATGGCATCAAGACCAAATTTGGTGCTTAAAATTCCATTGTCTCAGGAGTAAAAGCTATAACAGTTGAATAACAGAATGGAAAAGAAAAGCGTAAAATATAAACTTTTGCTCTCAAGTGTTAGCTGTGTATTTGTCCAACCTTTCATCTGCTTCATAGATCTCCAGGTATGTAATGTGTAATCATCAATAATGCAGAAAGCAACAAGAATTTTTACTTCTTCGTACGGAAGTGTACATATGGGTACTCAAATGATTTCTTTGCAGTTACTCGTACAAATAAGAGTCATGCTGTTTTTCACCATATCATTGACGTTTACAGTGTGTTGTTCGCTATCACTTCTCATACAATTTAGTACTAGTTTGCTAGTTTTGGTTTCAGTATAGTTAAGCAATAACAAGATATGCATTTAAGCTAATGAAACCTCCAAAAGGTGGAGGTCAGCTGAGATTCTGTTCTTGTTAATTATGATTTAAGGAAGTAAAAGAAAAAATCATCTCTTCTTAGGGAATTCAAAAGAACCGGCAGAGCTACATGTTCATGTATTGTCTACCGAGCTCTGGTTCTGCTTCTCTATTTATATCCTTACTGTTACAAATCCGAGGGAAGATTTAGAAATAAAAGCAACTGCTATAGTGCTACTTAACATGCAATTGAGTGATTTTGAGTCTATTCTGCAAAGAATACATTATTGTAACACAAATATAGCCAACCACGTCTACCTTCACAAGGTAGGGGTAAGATCTGCATACACATTACCCTCCCCGTACCCGGACTACACTGAATTTATTGTTGTTGTTCTTTTAAATATAGCCAACCAAGCTGATGTGGCTTTCGACAGATTTACCACACTATCCAACGGTCGGGCCGTGATGTGGATATGTGTTGAGTTGCATCACTCGATCAGCTAAAAGCTACTGGTGATGTAATAAGCTATGCAGTCAAAGAGGATAGGGGACTTCCGTTCCCATATCTAACCCAGTTGATGGCATTGAATAAGTACGGTAAAGTTCGGATGCAAATGCCTAAACACCTGCACATTACCTAGAGCCTATAGTAAAGATTGAAAAATAAAAAAGAACAAACGAAAAAATTATCAGAATCTTCAGAATAGACTTAGGTCTATGCTTCCTAGTAAAGTATAAACCCACCGAGTTTTAGGTCTCTAACTAGGTAGTTTGGCTGCTCCAGGCCCACAACTAAAAAAGAAACTCTCGAACAACAGAAGCATCCTATTCTGCTGCCTCACAAACCTCTGCTTTTCCTTATGGGTTTTATTGCGCAATCTTTACAAATTTCACCAGTTACCGGCTTCCAGACTAATGCGGAAATGGAAACTCAATTTCAGGCCATTTTTCATAAGTATCCTTTATATTTGGCTGTCTTATATATTTTGTTATATGTTCTTTGAGCAAGAATATATTCTGAGAGACCGTGCATGTTCAGAGCATTCCGAATGGGAAGGCATTTGTGCCTAGTACAGGAAGAAAGTCTGCGTAGTCTATTTCTTATACAAATACAACATAGTACAAGTACACTGAGTTAGACGACCTTGATCATACAAGATAAAACAGACAATTCTACTGGAAATGAGGGTGATTATGATTACAAATTTAAGAATGCTTCTTCTATAGTGGAACAGCTGCTGGACAGTTGTAGGATCCAATGCCAAGGTTCCCTCACAAACATCATGATGAAGTGGAAGACTAGTATTCCTGAATGGTTATATTCAAATTCATTAGGGCATCTGTCATGTTGCTCTGTCAAAGCTGCTACCAACCTGCATATGGAGCCACTCGGATTGTGCTCCTTGAGCATATTCTCTCGGTGCTTGTGCGCCAAAAATCATTCCAGTGGCATCAAATGCTGACGGTGCAAGCTGCAAGAGAAGTAGAGGGCCCAGAAATCAAGAAAGTGATGAGAAGCTTTTCACAAAAAATGATTCATATAGAAACACGAAAAGAATCAAGCACTAGATTGTGTTGCAATGAATATGAATATTTTAGGGGCTAACTTGACATTGAAACTACTGAAAAAGATCATTAGTGTCTAGCGATGATCATGAATGAAAACAGTAGTAGCAGTTCAGTTGGCAAAGAGAACTCAGCTTGGTGCTCACACGAGCACCGCAGATTGTGGTAGAGAAACAAATTCCTTGTAGTCTATATCCACACAATTCTCAAGGACCAACAAGGCCAAGTCATACAAGAAAACAATACATTGAGAGAACAAAGGACTGGGAAAGTGAAAGCTGGAAAGTGGGGCAAAAGAAGTAGCAAGTACGTCACAGACTTTATTGTGGCACCAGATAACAAAAGCATGGAAGCTTATCAGAAAAGGTCTACATCTGTCCAAATGTCACGTCATTTAATTTCACATGGTAAAGTGCAGATTTAGCAATGCTACGAAAAGCTTAAACTTCACTTTCAAAACTTCCCCTTAAACATCATCACTATGAAGATGGGATTGGGTAGCAAAAGAATTGTATAATGGTGATAAACTTCCAGACCAAACCTGCCCCACCCGAAAACGATAAGAAATAAAAATAACGCGTGCAAGAAAGCAAAAGAAAAGTGGTCACAAAAAGCTCTTTTTGTGCTTCTACACGACAGTCTATCTGATGAGTTGTGATACCAAATTCCTTGAAGCATATTGGAGATGGTTCCAGTCTATACTCCAAAGCTCGATAGTAACTTAAACTAAGTTAACCTTATAAAAATTTCCCTTGCTGCTCTATGCTGGATTCTTACAATTAATGCCTAGAGTAAAACAATATTAAAAGATATGGCAAAGGTATCAGGAGTCTAGAAACAAGCCGTGCCCTATCTAGGGAAAAGTCTCAGCTGCTATCTGAACAAAAAATATGTGGAAAGCTTTCCCAGAACTGCAATTTGGCACATAGCAACGCTCCAGACACTAATGTAGGTGATTTCCTGTTGACACTACCTCAAAAGAACTAACGTAGAGTCAGTCTAGTGGCAAATCAGTTTCATCCAAAAGGTTCAAATCAAAAGAGAGCACAAGTTTTCAATGTTTTCATGAATGCATTTCTTTCGAGAAATGTGGTTGCAAGAGTTCAAGCATTCATAGGATGCTTGAGGAAGATATCAAAATCAACTAATTCAATAACTTTACTTGACCATCACATAATTTCTCATGGTGCCTAATACTACTTAAACTTCTAGGTCCAGAGTCTTTGGGTGAAAGAGATTTCAAGTGCAGCCATGAACAAATGTGATATAGAAAATGGGCAGTGAAAGATATCTACCAGTTCTGGCATTTACTTTAACAAATCTACAATATCTGAAGTAAACAAAAGATCAGATAAAATAACCTTCAGCAAGTTATTATCCACCTGTAGATTATTGACTCCAAATATTTGGAAGGCTTAACAGATAGAACAGCTATAGTGTTTTAGTCTTAGATCAACATAAGCCTGAATCCATCTACCAGCTACCTGTGATAAGGAAAAAGAACACCAAATACTTACATCCTTTGAAGGGAAGGTTTCTATAGGGTGGCTCATCCTTGAATTGACTGCTTCAAGCTTCATGGACAAGAACTGGAAAGTTCAATTGAGAGAAAAAAGATGAGGTTATGGATGAGTTCATAAGACCCAAAAGGACAACTACTACGGACAAGAACTGGAAAGTTCAATTGAGAGAAAAAAGATGAGGTTATGGATGAGTTCATAAGACCCAAAAGGACAACTACTACGAAGATGAGGAACTACCTCCACTTGACGCTGTAGTGACTGGATATAATTTATTATTTCATCAAGAACAAGAGCTTTTCCAATAACCTGTAAAA